AAAACACGAAAGATTTCAGTCAGGGCAGCCGGTATGCTGGAAAAGCTAACTGTTTCCCGAATGCAAGGTTACGACTATATCCTTTCACTAATTTTTCCGGCTCACCGTGTTGATGAATTTCAAATTACAGTTAGTTTGGCAAATACAAACTCCTGATAGGCATAGGCCATACACATAGTTCAGAAATCTTTGCTTATTCCCTAAGGGAAAAGAACATTGCCAATATAACTAAACAATTGTTTCATTTGGGTTTGAAGGTAAAGTCGTCCATGTAATTATTTAAGCACTACACCGTAAAGACGTGTGGGGGGAGTGGGGGTATAATTTCAGGAATTTTTAATCTTGGTGGTAGATGAAAATGAGTGGTCATCTTTACGCCCCAACCATTTCACTCCTCGCTATCCCTCCTTGGTACCAATAGGTGGCTCAGCGACAACCAGGGCCAGTAGGACGCTGTGCGGAAGACAGAAGTCCCTTGCCTCTGCTGGAAATCGGCCCTTATTTATTTATTTAACGCATATAAAATTCTTCAGTAATTATATCCGTTTTATTATGTACGTTCCTCTGAACTTGTGATCTCTGTTACTAAGCACGTTTAGGTGACATTTTCTATTGCTTAGACTTTTTATTTATTGTTAGTGGGGTGGGACTAAGTCACTTGAACTGCGGACACTTCTGGCCTATTGTACCAGCCCCAGATAGATGAGGGTGATCGTGGAGCAATTGGTGGAATGAAGATTGGCAGGAGAAACCGAAGTACTCGGAGAAAACCTGCCCCAGCGCCATTTTGTCCACCAAAAATCCCACTTGACCAGACCAGGGATCGATCCCGGGCCGCCGGGTGGAAAGCCAGCAACTAACCGCTTGAGCTATGGCGCGTCCTTGTTGCTTACACTTACTAAAATGTTAGCCAAAATATGCTTCTCTCAATGTTATGCAATCACTCTAAATAAAAGTTCATTCGACTTTATGTTATTTTACATTTTTTATTGCTTCTACACTTTAAAATGCCTTTTACGCAATTGTAAATGTCTCTGAGAGCATTAAGTGTAGTTAACTAAGCAGTTCAACATTGGAGTGTAGTTCACTGACATAATCGTACCGAATTTCATGGAAATCTGCCCACTTCTTCGATATCTGGAACTACATCCTCAAGGATATACATGCAGTCAGATACACCCGAATAGTACCTGCCACTGATCGCGGTTAACGGGCGGCCAATATTCTTAACTGTTAGTAGTATCAATCTCCACGTGGAGCGCCACGTAACGAAAGCAACGATCGAAATCATGTAAGTAGTCCTCTTCTCGGTAGATGGCGAAGGTATCTGCGACAATAGCGACGTTGAAAAAAAAGAGTTAAACCGGAAAGTCTTCATTCTCCTTCAACATAAATTTCGCCGTTAATAATTTACTGTGAAGAATATCAATATGGAAGCAGTTCCAGTCTTATACTGCTACTAGCATATAATTTAGCCTGAAACATGGTATTCCGGTTCATTGTGATGTGTATAACTTTTTTTTTAGTTCGCTTAGTGGGGGGGTGGAGTGCAGCTGGGTCCACTCGGCACGGAGGCCACTGATTGGCCTATTGTACCTGCCACAGGTGATTATGATGATGGAGAATTTGGTGGAATGAAGATTAGTAGGGGAATTCGAAGTACTCGGAGAAAACCCGCTCCAGCGCCACTTTGTCCACGACAAATCCCACTTGACTAGACCCGGGATCGAACCCGGGCCGCCGCGGTGGGAAGCCAGCGACTAACCGCTTGAGCTATGGCGCGGCTTGCGCTACGGGTAACACTAACAAGTAAGGGTATGGAACCCACTAAACAAGAACCCCAGTTCAGACGAACAGCGGCACAAGCTCCAGAATGATTTCCTGTGACATAAATCATCATTAAAAGATCGCTATTACTCTGCAAGACTTAAAAGTTTAAGCTCTAAACACGTCATTCTACTTTAATGCTCATTATATATAGAAATGTTTCTTAGTGTATGGATATGTCACGTGTATGTACACTAAAGTTTTTTCTCTCTCCTTTATTTACAATCAGATTGTACAATCTGTAAGTCAGTGTGCTGACTGGTGTACAATTTGATAACTATTCATTGTACACTCTTCTGGCGTGTGCGGAATAAACATCCAGTGATGTTTTCCTCAGTTCGTTAGATCTGATGGCCAACTTCTTCTGAGTCTTCGATTTTCATGAGGTTGTAGTAGTGGTTGAAGAAGTGGGTTGGAGTGATATCTTGTTTGCTGAAGTACTTGGTGCTGTTTTCTTGGATGACTTCTGTTGCGTAAGGAGTTTTTAAGTTCTGT